GAGATCCAAAATCAACAGTGAATGGCGCCTGCTGCTGCTGAAGTGCATGCGGGCGCGCAAGGTGACTGGAGACAGTGTTTTAAAAAGTTACTTACAGTCGTTTCAGATATAAATAAATAATGGATATATTCATTCTATTTCGGGGCCGCGCTTTCAAAGCACCCACGGACACCTTAAATCATCCACAATATACGCAAGGAAATGCTTTTAAGACAGTACACAGAGAATGCAGTCCGGGTGATGTTTTTTATATGGGGTGCAGATGAGAGGGAGCTGTCCAGAATGACATCCCCCCCAAAGATGTTGTGTTTGAGTTGCTTGATAAGCCATTAAAAACAGTAAAAATAAGGGTCTCCTGTTCACCAAAAACATACCCATACCTGTTATGGAAAAAGAAGTAATTCCAAAGTATTCTAAATCTGATTTCAGTATTCAGTAACTAATATCCCGTCCCTCCCAAGTCAACGAACTTCAAAATTCTATGATATACTAAAATCGCCGGCCCGCAATATTTTCTATTGGATAGCATTTTGGCCCTTTGACAAATGTAGTTGGTGACCCCTGGTTTACTTGATTACACAAATGATTTGTTTGGAAACTTATAGTTTTATTTTTTTTATTTTGGCTTGACTCAGTTTTTTTCCCTCCTTAAACTCATAGTTTTGGCTTTTTCTGAGAAAGTGTTCCTTTATCTTTATGAAACAAAACGAATCCCATAAATCATCCCATCCCATCTGTGTGACTGAGTGATAAACGAGACACGGGAAACAGAAGGTTAATGAGTACGGAGCTGAAAGAGGCCTTTCCTGGCCTCCTTGTGGCCCAATGGGTAAAGACGAAGAGAGCGGACTCCTGATGGAGCAGGCAGTCAGATTCTGTGTCTGTGCTGCGTATCACTCCTGATAGTCCAGATCGATCACATCTGTTAGTCTGCTGCTGAATCTGATCTGAAGGCTTTTGTGGGCTTCCTTTTTATCGCACCCGTCGCCGCTCTACAGTCATGGTATTATATGTTTATGGAAACTTAGAAATGATTTCAACTCAATGAGGAATTGTTAAAATTCATTAATTTTGATAGCTACACTAATCTGTGTGTGTGTGTGTGTGTGCCTGTGTTGTGTGTCGTGTTGTGTGTGCGCTGCCGCGTGGCGTTTGTCTCTGTTGACTTGTTGGTGACCGGTAACGCCCCTCTCTCTGCCCTCCCCTCTCGCGTTTTTCTTCTCTCTCTCTCCCTCACACACACATATGCGCGCGCGCACATACAAACACACACACACACACACACACACACACACACACACTCAGGAGGCGCGGTGCGAGGCAGGAGCAGCAGCGCTCGGTGCCTCTTCTCAGTGTGCGGAGGGCGGAGGAAGGAGGAACAGTAGGGCATGCTCAGTCGGGAATATCTCTCCCTCCCCGTCTCAGTGTCTCTCTCGCCGCTCTCGTCCTCTCCCGCCCCAGAGTTCACTTTTCACCGTCTCTCCTCTCCGGCCAGCCGCTAAAGGAAGAGCCGGCGCGCGGTCATGGTGCATCTTTGCGCATTATTTCTGATCTTTAAAACAAAGTGAATCTATTTTGTGCCTGGACTAAAATGAAGTTGCTTTTTTCTGTGTGGAGGGAAAGAGGGGCAGCGTTGGGCAGCCACTCTGTGAATAGTCTGGATGGCAGCTGCTGAGGATCTGCGTGAAGAGTAAATCTGTAAGCTCTCTGGAAGGAAAAAGGGGTTGCAGTCAAGCGGCTTTTTCTCCCCCCCCCCCCCGACTCCCTCATGCATCTGACAATGTGCCAAGTCCATCCACCACATAGGATCCAGTTCATTTCTCATGGTGTGGCTGTTTTTCTTTTCCTGGATTGATTTTTTTTTCTTTTTATGGGATTTTTTAACCAAAGTGAAGGTCAATGGAGAGACTCTACGGCCCCGTTTTAACACCCAGTAACGGCTGTGCCTGTGCGCTTGTGTGTGAGTGAGTGTTTGTGTGTGTGAGCGCCTCTACCTCCTTTTCCCCTATCTCCCTGCTCTGAGAACTCACCCCTTGCTCCCCCCCCCATCCACGGCTCATGCTGCAAGTTAAATGCTGGATCTATATTTCAGCGACCATTTTTGGCTGTAAAAATGCTGAGCGGCGTCCTCATGCTGAGCGTCCTCACGGTCACCAGCCTGACACCAGCGGAGACGGAGAGCCGCAAAGCGTCCTCCTCCAAAGAGATCTGCAAGACCCGCTGCAGCTGCGAGGAGCGCGAGAACCTCCTGAACATCAACTGTGAGAATAAAGGATTCACCACAGTCACTCTGTTCCAGGCGCCCCCAAATAAAATCTCCCAGCTTTTTCTAAACGGAAACTTCCTGTCACGGCTCGGCGCCAATGAGTTTGTCAATTATGGCAATGTCACCTCACTGCATCTGGGGAATAACGGCTTGCAGGAGATCCGGACGGGCGCTTTTAACGGGCTGCGCTTCCTCAAGCGGCTCCACTTGAACAACAACAACCTGGAGGTGATCAAAGAGGACAGCTTCGCAGGGCTGGAGAGTTTGGAGTATCTACAGGCAGACTATAATTATATCAGCGCCATAGAGCCGGGTGCGTTCAGTAGGCTGAATAAGCTCAAAGTGCTGATCCTGAATGACAACCTGCTGTTGTCTCTGCCTCCCAACATCTTCCGCTTTGTACTCCTCACACACTTGGATTTACGGGGCAACCGGCTCAAGAATCTGCCGTTTTCCGGGGTTCTGGAGCACATAGGGGGCATCATGGAGATCCAGCTGGAGGAGAACCCATGGAATTGCACCTGCGATCTGATTCCCCTCAAATCCTGGCTGGACACTATTACTGTGTTTGTGGGGGACATCGTGTGCGAGACGCCGTTCAGGCTGCACGGTAAGGACATCACGCAGCTTATAAAGCAGGATCTGTGCCCGCGCAGGAATGCTGGGGAGCGTGTGCACCCCCCCTCTGACTCTCACTTTCAAGGGGTCCTGCCCCCGACCTACCTCCCCGGCATGATCACCCCCACCCGTGCACCCAAAGCTTCCCGTCCACCCAAAATGCGCTACAGGCCCACCCCTCGCATCTCAAAGGACAAACATGTTTTTGGGCCTATAATGGTTTACCAGACACGCTCCCCCGTGCCCATGTTGTGTCCCAACGTGTGCGTGTGCACGTCCCAGAACCCTGACAGTGGATTGAACATCAATTGCCAAGAGCGAAAGTTGCATAACGTCAGCGAGCTGAACCCCAAGCCCTCCTACCCAAAGAAACTCCACCTGACTGGTAACTACCTACAAGTGATTTACAGAAATGACCTGGCTGAGTACAGCTCGCTGGAGCTGCTTCATTTAGGAAATAACAGGATAGCAGTGATTCAGGAAGGAGCCTTTGAGAACTTAACAAACCTCAGACGGCTCTACCTGAACGGGAATTACATTGAATCTCTTTCTCAGTCTCTTTTCTTTGGTCTGCAGTCGCTGCAGTATCTCTATTTGGAATACAACATCATCAAAGACATTTTACCACAAACATTTAACGCTTTGCATAACCTCCAGCTGCTCTTTCTGAACAACAACCTGCTGAGGTCGCTCCCTGACAATGTGTTCGGTGGCACCATGCTAACCAGGCTCAACTTGAGGAATAACCACTTCTCCTACCTGGCAGTCCGAGGGGTTCTGGACCAGCTGTCAGCATTCATCCAGATCGACCTGCAGGAGAACCCCTGGGACTGCACCTGTGACATCGTGGCGCTCAAGAACTGGATGGAGCTGTCCAGCACCAGCGTGGTGGTGAACGAGATCACGTGTGATTCGCCCTCCAAGCACGCGGGTCGCCTGCTGCGGTCACTACGCAACGAGGCAATCTGCCCCGAGCCCAGCGAGCCCCCCACGCCACAAAATGCACCCCCTACAAAAGCCCCCACATTGATAAGCCCTGCTACTGAGGCCCCCACCCCTTCTGCTTTTAGCTCAGTCAGCCCAACCGAATCTCGACTCCAGACCCCCGAGTTGCACCCAGAGGTGCCGCTCTCAGTCCTGATTCTGGGGCTTCTCGTGGTCTTCATCCTGTCGGTCTGCTTTGGCGCAGGCCTCTTTGTTTTTGTTCTGAAGCGACGCAAAGGAGTGGAACATGTCCCCACTGGCAGCAACAACATCGACCTGAACTTGTTTCAAGTCCAATACGGCTCCTACACTCCTGAACCCACCCAAGACAAAGCCTCGGAAAGCCACGTTTATAACTACATCCCCCCACCTGTGGGCTCCATGTGCCAAAACCCTATTTACCTGCAGAAGGATGGCGAACAGGTGGCATACTACCGCAACCTGAAGGAGCTCAGCTTTGGGCCCCTGGACGCCAAGAAGGACGCTCTCACCCGAAGTCCAGGGGCCTACACCATCAGCACAATAGATTTTATGGATAAACCTCCAACTACGTGTGGGTTGACCTCCCCAGAACCTCCTGAGATGTTGTATCAGAATTTAGGGGAAAGGCCCCACAAAGATCTCCCCGCGGCTGGAGGACCCCCACCGTTCCATTACAACTTTTGCACTTTACCTAAGAGACCTTGCATCGTGCCCCCCTACGAGGTTGCAACAGCCCGGCGGCATATCACCAACCAGGACAGGTTGAACAAAACGGTTCTGTACGGGACCCCCAGGAAATACTATGGAGCGGAACACCTTTCCAAAAACAATGAGCACCCGCTGCTGCTCCCCGGGAAGCTAAAAACAGAACCGGACTACCTGGAGGTTCTGGAGAAACAGACTGCGATGAGCCAACTGTAAGATAGCAACTATG